CTGTAGTGTACCACTGCAGATTTCAGGCACTAGTCCCAATGATTAATTTTTATTAAGAAACATTCAAGTAAAATGCAGTGTTTTATTTTATTTATTTGTAAGATTTATTTAGCACTTCAGTTTAAATGGCTCTAAATGGCATACTTCTGAGCAACAGTAACAATTTACCCGTGCAAATATCAATAAAATAATATATGAAATGTCACAGCTTATATAAAAACAACCCACATTCAGTTCCAGTGCCAATCCAACTCCAAAGGCCAGAGTAGGGGCTACCTTCGCTTCAGGAATAAGCTGTTCCAAAGGAGGAAGACCTCCCACAGAGAACGAAACCTCATGATAGCCAGATACCTTCAGCAGGCACTCTATTCTCTCAAATAATAGAAGACTAGCATATTCGAAGAGAAGGATTTTCCCTGAGATGTTGTTTTATGCGAAGGGAGTAAAACCATAAAAATTTCTTCATAGTTCAATTAATCACATAAGCCCCCACCTATAATCTGAAGTGGTACAGCTCAGAGACAGGTCACCAGCACATCAGTGAGAATTAGGCCTTGAACAGCTGATCACTGACACCTGTTCTCAGAGTACATCAGTACACAAAGCTCAGAAGATTAGTCATGTAAAAAACATCAATCCCCAAATTCATACCAGACAAAGAGGAATATTTGGCTGGCTGCTATTTAATTAGTCATGGTATTCAAGGAACTACATTATATGTCTAAGCACCGAGGTAAAAGGAAAGAGATGTGTCCAGTCCCCTGAAGATGTCAAAACCTGGCTGCTCTTGTTTTCTTGCTACACCTCACTTGTGCAACTCACTATGGAAATTACAATAGGTTCCACACCTACATGCTAGGTGGAATCACATTGTCAACTCAAGAGACTGAAAGAACAGAGAAGAAAGCGTAGCTTGCTGTGGTTGAGAAAATATGGTATTCTCGTTCACTCCAAAGAATGTCAAAGTCTTCAAGACAAAATAAAACCTACAGGGTGGTAGGTCTGTCCAAGTGGATCTTGTACATTTTGTTTCTGGAAGCAGCATCTTCACACAGTTCTTCTAGAGCCATTAATATTTAGGCATCCCATAATGGAGGGTGCCATCAAATGTCCGTGCACCAACTCCAGAACCCCTTTGGAGTATCCAGCTCTGGAGGGGCTTTTTTCCCCCTCCCTGTCCCTGCTCAGGCCCAATGTCTCTACAAGGAATGGGGTGGCTGGTCACAAGTTGGGCTGGAGTTTTCTATCTGCTTCCTGCTGCTGAGGCTTCTGGAAGGGCTAAGCGCCTCCCTGCAGGAAAAAAAGGAGAAAGAATGGGAGGGGCAGAAAAAGTCAAGGAGGAAAGCACACCTTTTCAAGCACTGACTTGCAGTGAACTCCACCTCCCATAATGCTAGGCAGTATAGTGTTCATCGGGCACAATGGGAGCTATGGTGCAACCTCTGAAAGACAGCAGGTTAGAAAAAAGTTGGCCTAAGACTTTCTGCAAGATCTTTGCTTCTTTTCTCTCACAAACTTTACTTTTCTATGAGTATGTAAAACTGCTTCATGCATCAAAGTCTAAATGATCGTAAGGTTTGTTTTGCAAATTTAGCTGAGTTTTTCAAACCATGATTTATGAACCTCAGCATGTTATATGAACCAGTCAATTGTGTTTTATTACTTGAGCAAACCATAGTGTGTAAACCTGGCCGGAGTCTGAAAGCTGCTTCTGCCAACCAAGGGTTTGATAGACCATTAGACAGAGATCCTTCCACTTCTGCCATCTAAAATCTTTTAGAGTAGGAACCTTCTGCATATAGTGCAAATGCTCTAACATAGTGTTTTTCAACCTTGGCAACTTTAAGATGTGTGGACTTCAACTCCCAGAATTCCCCAG